GTTGGCAAAAGGCGACTAGGGAATGGATGCCCTATGTCTAAAATCTCAACTAGGGGTTGGAGACCCTATGTTGGCAAAAGCGTAAAAGATTGAGATTGGGGGATTCTAAACTACCATTTTTGTTTGAATTTTCTTCTTATCTCTCTTTTTGGGTTGCACCTTCTTCTTTCACGGTTGCGTTGGATTGCACCTGTTTCAAGTTTTCAAACAAAGAACAATTGTTAGTTTGAAACGATGGTTAGTTTTGTGGCCTTGATTGTTTTTGATCACTTGATCTCGGCCCAACTCTTTTGGTGAGGACCTTTGTTGCTCGCTGGCTTTTCTGAAATCTGCTCTTTCTTCTAAAATGAGGAACTCAACCTTTGCAAAATTTCTCATGACGGTTTAACCGTGTGGGGCTTTGGCCCTTTCACCTTATTCTGCTTCTAAGGGATTTTGACTTCAGATTTCTTTTCATTTTCCACAACTTGATTTCAGAGTATCGGCCATCATGGTCAGTCGGGATCGACTTGATGCACCCGCTGAGACTGGGTACTTTTCTTCGGGCTTGGCTTTTATTAAGCAGAACCCTGTAAAACCAATCTTGCCACCTTTTTTTTGTATTAGTTTCAGAACAGAATTAGACCGAAAGGGATTCAAGGAAAAGTAAACAAAGGACAAGAAAATGAATTTAAGGAGAAGTGTCCCTTTCGGGGAGGAAAGAAGGACTTATCCGGAATACATGTAGGCTTCAATAGACATGGCATGCTTCTTGGACTGGATACCTGATCTGCACAACTATCCAACTTCTTATAAACCCATTGAGACCCGTGTTTTAAAACCGAGAAACCTTGTCAGGACTCTTTCAATGCCAATGGTGCCGAGGGTTTCTTCTTTTCGATCAATGGCACCCTTTGCGGGTTTTTGCCAATCGACCTCTCTCATTTCTCTTCTCACCATCGCCTTATAGTGCTCTTTACGTGTTTTCACTAACAAGACTCTCTCGTTTTTCAATTTCTTTGCCCACTATCGCCTTAGGTTCCCGATGGTTTTCACCAATAAGACTCTCTCATTTTATTTCTCTCATCTTGATGGCATCGGATCCAAATAACTGCGTTATCCGATTTTGAACACCTTTTGCCGATTGATCGGAAGGACTTGAACAAGGTTTGGGTAAAAATAATTCGGATTAAATTACAACTTTGGAACCGTTTAGGCAGGATCATCACCAAACCATTATAACATCTGCCCTAGTTTCACTTTCGGGGGAACTTGGATTTTTGTTTTGTTGTGACTGAAACCCAGAGAGAGACTGCCTACATATCCTTTCGGAATCAAGTCGAATGTAGTTTAGGGAAACATTTTGTTTTTGTCGTTTCTTTCATTTTTTTTCTATTTTGATTTTGTTTTTTTCCGAACATCTTCAAGTTCCAAAGAGGGTAATGGAAGGAAGGTAACCGACTCAAAGGGTTAGCAAAGGATTGGAGTGTTTGGGGTAGCAAGAATTAAAGCCTTTGTCATCCCAATCGGATAATGTTATTGCTGCAGAAGGATTAGACATAGTACCTTTTGATTGCATCTGCATTTACAGCTATTTCAGGGTCATTTCCTTCAATGTCTCCCAGATATAATGCCCCTTTTGGCAATAATTTTCTGATAATGTATGGGCCTTTCCAGTTAGGAGCAAATTTTCCTTTTGCTTCCTAATGATGGGGGAGAATATGCCTTAAGACGAGTTGCCCCACTTCAAAGTTTCTAGGACGCACTTTCTTGTTGTAGGCACAGGCCATTCTTTGTTGATACAACTACTCGTGGCAGACTGCGGCCATTCGCTTTTCATCGATCAGGGTTAACTGTTCCAAACGGGTTTTGACCCACTCACTGTCTTCAATTTCAGCTTCAACAATGTTCCGGAGAGAGGGGATTTCGACTTCCGCGGGTATTACGGCTTCAGTGCCATAAAACAAAAGGTATGGGGTTGCTCCGACCGATGTGCGCACAGTAGTGCGATACACCAACAATGCAAACGACAACTTTTCATGCCACTGCCTGGAACTTTGAATCATCTTTCACAAAATCTTTTTGATGTTTTTGTTTGCTTCTTCGACGACACCATTGGCTTTGGGATGATAAGGAGTAGAGTTCCGATGTGTTATCTTGAACTGTTCACATATCTCCCTCATCAAATGACTATTCAAATTTGCAGCATTATCCGTAATGATAGTTGTAGGAATACCAAAACGGTAGATGAGGTTGGAATGCACAAAGTCTACTACAGCTTTCTTGGTGATAGATTTGAGAGTGATTGCTTCAACCCACTTTGTGAAGTAGTCGATAGCGACCAATATGAATCTATGCCCATTTGAAGTTTTTGGCTTGATCGGCCCAATGACATCCATGCCCCAGGCAACAAATGCCCAAAGTGCTGACATGGCATGCAGTTCTGTAGGTGGTCCATGAATCAAATCACCGTGCACTTGACATTGGTGACATTTCCAGACAAAACTAAAGCAATCTTTTTCCATAGTCATCCAATAATAGCCTGCTCGAAGAATCTTCTTTGCCAAAACATACCCGTTCATGTGAAGTCCGCACACTCCTGCGTGCACTTCATACATGATTATTTCGGCCTCTTTGGTGTATACACATATTAACAAGTTTAGATCTGGAGTCCTTTTGTACAAGACATCACCGCTCAAGAAGAAACCACTTGCGAGCCGTCTAATGGTCCTCTTTTGGTCTCTACTGGCTTGCTCGGGATATTCTTTAATTTTTAGAAATCTCTTGATATCCTGATACCATGGCTGAATATTTGGTTCTTCCTTAACCGTATTGCAGTAACCATGCCTTTCCCGGATTTGAATTTCCAATATGTCAATGTGGGCATTGCCTGGGTATGGCAGCATCGAGGCCAAAGTAGCGAGCGCATCATCTAACTCATTGTGAAAACGAGGAATGTACCTGAACTCCACTGACTTGAATCGCCTGATAAGATCTTCTACATATTGCCTGTAGGGAATAATCTTTACATCCCGAGTCTCCGATTCTCCTTGGGCTTGTCGGATAATCAAATCCGAATCTCCCATGATCAACAATTCTTCGACATATTGGTCGATTGCCATGTTTATACCCATAATGCAGGCTTCGTACTCGGCAGTGTTGTTTGTGTAGAAAAACCAACTAGGTTATGGTTGGATAATGCTGACCAGTGGGTGAGATCAAGATTGCCCCAATTCCAACTCCTTTTGTGTTCACAGCCCCATCAAAGAACATTTTCCAAGCATTGGTGTCTTCTGATGTTATCTTAACTGAATTTACCTCTTCATCCGAGAAGTAGGTGCTCAAAGGCTGGTATTCATTGTCAACAGGGTTTTCAGCCAGGTGATCTACTAAAGCCTGGGCTTTCATTGCCGTGCGGGTGACGTAGACTATGTCAAATTCGGTGAGCAAGATCTGCCATTTTGCTAACCTCCCCGTGGGCATTGGTTTCTGGAATATGTATTTCAAAGGATCCAACCGGGTGATGAGATAAGTGGTGTAGGCCAATAGGTAATGCCTAAGCTTCTAGGCGACCCAAGTTAGGGCGCAACAAGTCCTCTCCAACAGGGTATATTTGGCTTCATAGCTTGTAAACTCTTTGCTCAAATAGTAGATCGCCTGTTCTCTTTTCCCAGTTACATCATGTTGCCCGAGGACACATCCAAAAGAATTCTCCAAGACTGTCAAATACAAGAATAGAGGCCTTCCCGATTCAGGTGGGACCAAGACTGGTAGGTGGGACCAAGACTGTCTTTGATTTTGTCAAAAGCTTCTTGGCACTCGTCTGTCCATTTAAATGCTGCATCTTTCTTTAATATCTTGAAGATGGGTTCACATGTAGACATCAACTGCGCAATGAATCGGCCGATGTAGTTCAATCTTCCCGGCAAGCTCATAACATCTTTCTTAGTTCTTGGAGGAGGAAGATCTCGAATAGACTTTATCTTTGTTGGGTCTAACTCGATGCCCCTCCGACTAACTATGAATCCCAAGAGTTTGCCAGATGCAACTCCAAATGCACATTTGGCTGGGTTTAGCTTCAGATCATATTTACGTAGCCGCTCAAAGAATTTTCTCAAGTCCCGAACATGGTCATCCTGGGTCCTGGATTTGATGATCATGTCGTCCAAATACACCTCTATCTCTTGGTGCATCAAGTCATGAAAAATGGCAGTCATGGCCTCATGTAGTTTTCCCCGATGTTTTTTAGACCAAAAGGCATGACCTTGTAACAGTATGTTCCCCAGGGTGTGGTAAAAGCTGTATTTTCCGCATCCTCTTCATCCATTAACACCTGGTGATATCCTGCGTAATAATCCACGAAGGATTGTATCTCATGTTTGGCGCAGTTATCAATAAGGATGTGGATGTTCGACAAAGAGAAATTATCCTTAGGGATTGCTTTGTTCAGATCTCTGTAATCCACACACACTCGAGTTTTCCCGTCTTTCTTTGGTACTGGAACTACATTGGCTAACCATGTTGTGTATCGATCCATACAGATCACCCCCACTTTCAACTATTTTGTGACCTCTTCTTTAATCTTGTCACTGATATTGGTTTTAAACTTTCTTTGCTTTTGCTGGATAGGGGGATAATCGGGGTAAGTTGGCAACTTGTGAACCACCAAATTGACACTCAGTCCTGGCATGTCGTCGTATAACCAAGCAAACACATCTTTGAATTCAAACAAGAGCTGGATCAATGCGTCTCGAGTTTTTTCATCTGTGTGAATGCTTATCTTGGTTTCCCTAACTTCTTCAAAACTACCCAAGTTAACCGGCTCAGTCTCATTTAAGTTCGGCTTAGGTTTATTCTCAAATTGTTCCAATTCTCAATTTATTTCCTTAAAATCCTCTTCTTCATCATATTCCGGTTATTGGTTCATTATTCCACAGTTAGATAGCGTGTTTGGATCTGGGCATGAAGTCCGCAAGCATGTCATGTTATTTAAAGCGGCATTATTAGAACTGAAGAAAAAATAAGAGAAAAAATAACAAAATCAGAAAGAGTAGAGAGATGAACGATGAAATATCAATTTAATTTCATTGAATTTGAAGATAACAAGGTTTACATTGGAAATTAAAGATAGGAAACTAAAGAAAACATCCGAGTTACACCCCGAAATAACTCGTGATACAGAAAAAGTGGCAGGACTGGACTACTGGGATTCCCTCCTGATTGGGAACAGAGTAGCCTTCCAATTTTGCAGTTTGGCATTGGGTCCCATGTATAGCACCTCAGCGGTGCTTGATCCTTCCCCTGGTTGGACCATGTGGGTTTCATACAGTATCTGCCTCATAGCCCCACTGATTTCTTCAATTTCTTTGGCCGTGAATGCCTCATCTTCCTCTTCCTCATTGTATTTAAGCCTGACATATGTTCTATAAAGATGCAGAATCGGCTGAGGCAAGACCCAACCATTGTTCTTTCTTTCATCTGCCCATTTTCCATCAGCTAACGTGGGTTGGAAACCTACCCCAAAGAACATCTCACTAGCATCCAGGGTGATAGGTTCAGCAATTCCTTGCAATGAAGTTCCGAGCCCCTTCCCGGGTTTGTAACCATGCCTGATCATCTCCTTGGCAACCATAATTGATGCATTTGAGAGAAAGGGTTGAGAATAGGGGTTCCCTTCTTCACATTGGTCCACGACCACAACCTCAAAAACTTGATAGACTATATGTTCACTTCCTTATCTAGCTTCAAGACAAGGGACTGACGGGTCCCAGTAAATCGATTGCTCATCTTCCCCGTGAACTACAATCTCCTAATCTTCATGTTCGAATTTACCATTTGGTGGAGAGTAGAAGGCACATCCCCTGCTGCGTGAATCCAAGGTCTTCCCAAGAGGAAATTATAGGAAGTATCCATGTCCAAGACCTGAAAGGTCACCTTGAAATCCACTGGGCCGATAGTTAGAATTAAATCAATCTCGCCTATAGTATATCTCTTAATGCCGTCAAAGGCACACACACAGACATTATTGGGCCTGATTCTCTCAGTACCGATTTCCATACATTGCAGAGTTGAGAGAGGGCAAATATCTACCCCAGAACCACCATTTAGCATGACCCTTTTCATATAATACCCTTCGCATTTAACTGTCAGGTGAAGGGCTTTGTTGTAGGCGGCCCCTTTTGGGGGCAAATCATTCTTGATAAAAGAAATTTGATTGACTGCAAAAAAACCTTTCCGCCATCCTCTCTAACTATTCTACAGTGGTTTCAATGGGTACGTATGCTTTGTTGAGAGTTTTGATCAACACTTTTTGATGTTCAGTTGAATTCAATAGCAAAGACAACAAAGAGACTTGGGCAGGAGACTTCCGAAGGTTGTCAATTATCTCGTAGCCTGCCATTTTCATTTTCCGGAAAAACTCTTCTGCTTCTTCGGCACTCACTGGCTTCTTGGGTGGGAAACGTTTCTTTGTGGCATTATTCACTTCCTCCAGATTGAGGTACTTATCAACTGGGTTATTTTCCTTATCTTCTCCCAAGATCTCTTTACCTTTGTAAGTTACTACCGCTTTGTTGTAGTTGCATGGAACGGCAATGGGATCTGTCATGGGCCTTTGCGGTGCACGGCCAATAACCACGAACTCATTCACCCTTGGTGGAATTATTGGCCCCCTCACCATGTAGGTCCCTTTGGGCACATACATTTTTGCTCCCTTGGTTAGCTCAAACCTTCTAGGGGGGCTCAATGACATCTATTCTTTCTTGTGGCCTCGGGTAACATAGATAACGGTATCTTTTGAGGGCGCTGCCCCGATCTCAATTCCCACTTTCTTTTCTATATTTAGAGGGGTAGGTTTGCTCTTCTTCTCCCCCTTGTCTTGTTTCGGGACAACTTTTGGCTTCTTTTCCACATCGGCTATGGCAATGATGGCTTTTAGAGCTAGGTCAAACTCTCTATCTTCACAGATCATTCCAATAATCGGCCCATTGTTGTGAGCCGGTAATGGATTGTTGGTTACACTAGGAACGTCTTCGTCCTTCAGCACTATTCTTTTTTGTTCTATCAAATTTTCCACAGCCCTCTTCAGGGTCCAACAATCATCTGTATCATGCCCTTCTGCCCCTGAATGGTAGGCATCGAGTACCAACTCGATAAGCGGGCGACACTGGGTTCTGCCTGGTTTGGGGTACAGGCTGTAACAAACCTATCTGAACAAGTTTGGGGAAAAGGCTGGAATAAGACTCACTGATGGGTGTGAAGTTTGGTATCTTGGGTGGTTCCCGGGCACATAAGTTGTTCTGTGGAGGTCGGGGATTATACTGAGCTTGGTGAGGAGGTTGATTTTTGGGAAATGGAGCTTGGTTTTGATTAAATTGTTGTTGTGGCCTAACATAGGGTTGGGCACTCATCACTGCGTATGGCTGAGGAACCATATCATAAGCCACATCTTGGTGGGGATAGTAATGTTGTGGGGTTCTTTCAGAGAAATGAGGTCTAGGTGGATGGGGTTTTCTTGCACTTGAAGTTTCCATTGATGTTTCTTCCTTCTTCTTTCGGTTTGTTACTCCTCCAGACCCGCCTTGGATTGCTTGGGAGGTAGACCTTATAGTAGACTGACTCAATATTTGCCTTGTTTTCAACCCATTTTCAACCATTTCACCGATTTTGATGGCTTCGGCAAACGGCTTACCCATCGCAGACATCATGTTTTGATAATAATCAGCCTCTTGGGCTTGAAGGAAGACACTTACCATCTCTGTTTCGTCCATAGGAGGCTTGACCCTGGCCGCTTGTTCGCGCCATATGACAGCATACTCTCGGAAGCTCTCCGAGAACTTCTTCTTTAGATTTGACAATGAATTCCTGTCAGGGGAAATGTCGATGTTATATTGAAACTGCCTGACAAAGTCCCGAGCCAGGTCGTCCTAGATATGCCAACGAGATATATCCTGATCCATATACTATTCAGAAGCAATGCCAACCAAACACTCTCCAAAGTAAGCTATGAGTAGCTCTTCTTTTCCTCCCGCTCCTTGCGGTTGGTTGCAATACCTTTTGAGGTGGGCTATGGGATCCCCATGCCCGTCATATTTTTCAAACTTTGGGGTTTTGAAACCCAAGG